AAGCCAGAGCTCAGCAGGGACTGCGATGCGAGCGGCCGTTGTCCCCTCGAATAAAATATTCCTCCTGATTTGTCCGAGATTTGCTTGGAAATAAAGTGTAGTGTAGCCGTGACCCGTGGTGGCTGATTTGGGAAGGAGGGAGTCTAGCGTAAGCGTCTTGAGCTTCAGGTGCGCTCTCGGGCATGCACAGCCTGGGACTTAAAGCAGCTCTGGCATTTCTCCATTTGGAGGGGCCGGGCTTAAGACTTTGGCCCCGCAGCAGCCAGCATTTGGGAATCCTATATCAGAGATGTGTATGTGTAAGTGTACGGCAGACTGCTGGCATCTTTACTAATAGGAATACTTAGGAATCGCTATGGTTGTGCTTAAATAAAGATCGATTATGTAGTTTCTCCAAGTAGCCTTGTCTGAACAGGGAAAAGAGGGTGGGGAGGGGGTTACTACTATGCACACCCATCCTATTGATGTCTCTGCTGTTCAAAGATGAGGGCATACTCAGACACTTGGAACTGATACACAAATACAGAAAACCTCAAGTCTACCATTACAGGGGTACCGGTAGACTCAGAATATAAAGACTTAATAGGATCTATTTAATTGCAATCAGGCACATGGAAAGACACAATCCTTTAATATTCTCTTTCCTCATCAAGCATTCCCGGACTGCCCGCTATGTGGCAGGCACTGCTAGAAGAGATGCAAAGATGAGTAAGTTAGAGTCTCTCCTTGGTGATCAGCCTGGAGGAGCAGACAAACTTGTAAATAGAAGCAACAATAAGAGATTAGTGTGCTTATAGAGCCGTCTACCCTTCCAGTTTCTGTTTGAAGTCACTTGTAGAGAACTGAAAACCCCTAAACAGAAACTGCCCCAAAAGGATCCAGAAAACAGACGTTAAAGATGTCCCATGCCCTTCTTGGGTACAGCCCAGGCTAATTGCATCCCACAGCTGAACTTCCTAGGGAACCCTCAGCTCCCCAGTGTTTACTGGGGGACCCAAGGGAAGTAGGAAACCCTGATGTTCACAGTCTTCATATGCCTTCAGGATCAAGATCAACAAGAGTCCACCACTTCCGTGTGCCTTGTCATACATATGTCCCTTCCTGGGTGGCTGCATAGGGGATGGAGACCTGTTTTAGGATTGACTTCCCCCACAAACATGGAAGGGAAAGAACGCCAGGCTAGAACTAGAGCACCCTGGACAAGGGACTCAGGCAAAAAACAAACAACAACAAAAAACACACACACAACCAAACCCTGCTTTTTACTGTCTGCAAGAAAATTCAAGCTAGAAAATAGCTTTTTAAAAAACAAACACAACATATTCCCTGGAATTGAAGTCTGGTGCCCCTCTCAGAGCAAAAGCATGCTCCTCAGGCTGTGACAAGGGGCCATTGTCCTGGGCTTTGAAGGACAAAAATGTTTCTCTCAGCCTATATTTAGGAAATTACCTCCCACAATCCTCTTCCCTTCCTCTTTTGGACACTAATACTGCTTAGAAATCTGCCCTGGGGGTAAAGAAAAGCGAGAAAGGGGGAGGAAGGCAAGGCAGGTGAGAGACCACCTCTAAGCTGTCATGCCAACAGGACACAGCCACTCCTGTCTCATACATCCCAGGGCTCCCAAATGTTCCCCTGTTTTCTTACCCCATACTGAGGGTAGGGAGAGGATTCCAGGAGTGGAGAAAAGAGGGATAATTCTAAAACTTAAGATGCAACTGAGAGAAACTGAGGCATGGGGCAGGAGAGCAACCTCCCATGCTTTCTTTGTCCCCCACCCTCCAGTTTCTTGAGAAGGAACGAGGGGTTTCCTGGTGGGGATGGGAAGGAGAGGAGTGTGGACTATGGGCGGACATATTTCAAAGACTTCACTTCCTAGAAGAAATGTAAACCTCTGGCTGCTCTAGAGATGAGAACAGATGAGATAAGCAGGGGGACGGGAGTAAATGGGAGCACACTCCGAAAAGAACAGTCCTCTCCAGAGAAGGTCAGAGGGCCTCCCTCTGCTTGCCGCCTAAGGGCTGCAAAGTGGCAGACAGATGGAGGAATACCAGAGTATGGGCAAGGGTGCCTTAGATACCACCCCACCCCCTTGTCCCAATCAACGGCCTGTCACATGACCAAGAGTTTGGGGAAACCAGGTTCTTCACTGCCTCTCTTCTCTTTTCTGATACTATCCATCTCCAGGTCCCAGGCCCTGCCAATGCCTGTCCTGGTTTTCCTTGACTAGTCCTCCCCAACCTTGTCTCACCTTAAAGTAGCCCCCCAGATCTCCACAGCCTCCCCCAGCCTGGAGAAGTTGGGTGGGTGAGTTTCACCTCTCTCTCCCAGGGCAGATGGCGACCCTGCTGCTGGCACCCTGAGGGCAGGTGGCAAAAGGCACAAGCGATGGCGGCTTTAAGATGGCTGCAGGGAGAAACCAGGCTGCCAGAGAGGAGAGTGCCCTCCTAGGCGGGAGGGGACTGCCTTGGTGCTCCCCTCTGCCTGGCTGGCCGTGTCTTTCTCTGGGAGCTCCTAGCCCCACGGGAGTGGGGATGGTGAGGTGCTTTTCTGCACCTCAGAGCTAGAGGTGGGCAGCCAGGCTCTGATGGGAAGGAGAACAGTTGCTGACATTTCTAGATCTCCTCTTCTCAGGCAGCTCCAAAATTGACTGCTAAGCTTTGCCACCTGTTCAGGTATTCGCTAGGGTTCAGGGGACAGCGCCAAGGCGGAAAGACTGAGCTGCTGCCTCGGAGCGCCCAACTCTAAAACGATTCTTATCAAGCACCCGATTCCACAATAAAGCTGCTAAATAATTCAGTAGGCTTGATAGGAAAATGCAGCTTCCCAATGAGGTGCAGTTAAATGAATGTCTTTAAAGGGGGTGGCTATAATAAATAAGTTGGCTATGATTTAACACAAATAAACGCTAAACGGGGAGGAAAAACAAACCCATCCAGTGATTGCATACAAAGCGGATAAAGAAACGTACTGTGTGCAGAGGCTAGGTGTTTCAGAAGTCTCTCCTGTATTTCCTAAATTTGGATTTCTGCAAGGACACCGTTAGATTCCTCCCTGATAGTCCTCCCCATTCGATAAGCCATCCTATGGGTGCAGTGAAATATTGCTTATTTTAATAAGCCTTCTTGTCAGGAAAGATACAGTTGGTTGTCTCTTAACAAAATATGAAAACAACACTAGAAACTACATGCCTTTTCATGTAAAACCTTGATTTAAAAAAGAGGGGTAAGTAAATAACCCAGTGTGAAATCTAGGTGATGCGGAAAAGAAATCCTGGAACTCCAATAGCGTTTGATATTAAAACACACACATGTATTTCATAGTAGATAAAATATTTAAATTCCTTCCACATTTAATGAAGGCTTGGAAGGGACTGAACCACTTTTCAGAACTAATGGGCAACTGCCAGTTGACATTTGATTTCTATATTGGTTATTTTTATTCATCTCTCAAAGAAACGTAATATGTATCTGTACCAGCAAAATAATTTTCCTTCTGGGGAACTTCAAATGTAACAAATACTATAAAACAACTATTTCATATCATTTCTGTGAAAGGGATTAAAGTATTTCACTTTTAGCTGTACCGTACATTCATTTTACATTATCTTTCAAACCACCAAATTAGAAAACAGGATTATCTATGGGAAATGAATTGAAACTGAAAAAGACCACCTCTGACTATATATTTGCAGCTGACATTCACAAGTCCAGTCTTGTTTGTGAGGCGGGGGGAGTACATGGGATCTCATGCCTAATCACAGACTAGGGTCATTCATTTTGAGCCATGGATTTTATTTCTATTTCAAATTCTATATTAACTTATCAGCAAAGATCTCTTCAACACTACCAGTTAAATCCACAGAATGCAAATCTGTAGTTAATAACAGCAGGAAGCCATGGAGAAAAGCTTGGCTGGCATTAGCAATGGGGTTCAACCACAGCCAAGGTGAAAACAGATAACTCAGTCCTGCCTCACTTCTAAGGGGTCATTTGGCTCCCCATCTTGCCTCCCTTCTAGTTCTTAAAACATCAAATAACACACCGATTATCTAAACATCAGATTTTCTATTTTTATTAAAAACTCACAAATTTATTCAACATCATGTTTTCTTTCATACAGTGAATGGTCTAATATGCACTGGAGGTCACACAAGCTTAGGTTTATCAGAACAATAAAAGACATATGAGAAATTTAATATATAAAGAAAAAAGTAGCAGCTGCTGACTGCATATTTGACCATAAAATTTAAATATTTTGGACTTTTATTTTAAAGACACAAAAATAAAACCTGTGTGGGTCTATATAAGTCATATTAACAATTCCATGAATGTTCAACAGGACTAAAAATTAGCAAAGATGTTTTTTTTTTTCTTAAACCTTGTAACACTTTTTTTTTTTTTAACACTTTCTCAGGTTGTGGTGCCAGGCACCTTTACAGTATTTGTGCTATAATTATTCTATTTGGCAAGTGTCTGAATATCGTGTTTTCTTTTTGCCTTGTGTAAACAACACCTTTTTACATACTAGCACAGTGAGCTGTGAGCCCTGCAAATCTGTCAGAACATCTACAGGAAAAGAAAATGAACAATTTTGGTTGACTGCTCAAAACGTTTTGTTTTTGAACAAGAGGTTTCAAAACAGGATGTATTAGTAAAACACTGAACTCCTGAATTTAACATTATACGTAAACAGTTGACTGTTTTTAGTTCAATAGTCTTTTTTAAAACTCTGTGTGTGTGTGTGTGTGTGTGTGTGTGTGTGTGTGTGTGTGTGTGTGAAAGTAGAATACTTTTCTTGTACCGATGATGTTCAAGTCATTTTACTGAGAGGTCTGGCTGGAGACCGTCCTATCCAGTGTGTCTGTGTGTATAGGTGTATAGAGCTTTGTGAAGGTAGAAGAGTTGATACTGAGGGCTTTACATTTAGAATTTTGCAATTTTGGCAAAAACAAAACAAAACAAAAAAACCCAGAGAGACAAAATATATATATATATATATATATAGTCCCACCTGATGCACAGCAGGTCGATGTTTCTGAAGCTATTAAGTTTGTTGTCGCTGTTGCTGAACTGAGACCAACACTATTAGGTTTCCCACAGCCAGAGCCCCCTGGGCTGGCCTGGGAGCGCCCAAGAACGGCTCACCTCCGAAGCCCGAGCCCGGCTGTGGGCGCAGCCTCCCTCCTGGCGTCACCACTGAGCTGTGCACCCGGGAGGCCGCCGTGGTCGTTCCTGTGCCGCCCGCCGGCCAGACTCGCACGCCCGCGCTGTCTGTCCACGGAGTCGGGTCCAGGTGGGAGGCGAGGAGAGGTCTGTGTTTCCCTTGGGAAGCCCAGTCCTGCACCGGGCCAGCCAGGTCGCGGATCCCAGTCCTACCTCCAGGCAGATTTCAATCCTATGTCATGTTTCCCTTTCCCATCCAGTCTCCCCAGACGGAAAATGGTCCCCGAGGCTGGAGGAAAGTGGTGGTAGTGGGAGGGGGTGTGACTTGATTTTTATGATTTTTTTCTTTTTTTCTATTTTTCTTAAATAAAAGTTCATTTCTGTACAACCACGAACTCCGCGGACCACGCGAGAACCGGCTACCACACGGCCGCCTCGTTCATTTCGGGAGGGTGAGACAGGTGGTTCCCATAGCTCGCCCCGCCGTTGACCGACAGCGACGAGAAGGGCGGGCTCGGCCCGAAGACCTCAGCCGACATGGAGTGCAGAGGCCCAGGCAGGCTGGGCTCGGGGCTGGGCGAGTCCCCCGGGGGGTGCGCCAGGATGTCGGTGAACCGCTGCGCCTCGCTCGACGGGTGGTGGCCCGGCAGCGGGTGCTCCAAGCCGCCCAGGGGCGTCCCGGACGGCCCGGACGATGGCACGAAAGGTAGGTCCACGGGTGTCTGAGCCTGCGAGGACGGGGGGCCTTGCGGGAAGAAGTCATAGTTGCCTCCGGGCCCGTAGTACTCGCTCTGGTAATCTGCGGAGCAGGGGGAGGAGGAGGTCAGGGCGGGCCCTGGGTGGGGTGGGATAAAGGGCAGGGAGGCACCCTAGCCAGCCGGCTGGGGGCTCCCTTCCAGGCTGGGAGCTGGGAGGAGGCTGGGTGCGCACCCTGGAGCTGCTCGCTAACTGCCCACCCGCCTCATTCAGGCTCGGGGATTCCACCTCCCCCCTCATTTAATGCCCAGCCTCCCCCTTCTCTCCTCTGATCTGTAGCCCGAGAGAAGCGCCTCCCGCGCTGCCACCCGCTTCCAACGAAGCCAACCCGGGCCTGGCCGAGCCCTGCCCGGGGCAGCGCACCCACCTCCGTAGAAGGAGAAGGGCCCGTTGGGGAGGAGC